GGACAGGTATGTCGATGAGGAAATGACTCAGACCTGTGTGCTTGAAAAAAGTATGACAGGAAATATATGGACATCAGAATTGCAAATTCTGTTCAGCAGACAGTTTGAATTACAGATTTTAGAATCAGTTCATGTATTGTGGAGTGTTACAATTGTTTCAGGAATTCCCGTTTTTTTGTGCAAATCACTTGCTGGTGTATCTTACTGTGTCTGGAAATTTCGCATTATACAACAGTTTCGTGAATTTTTTGTCCGACAAAATATCAGATTGTGAGCAAGTTTGATAATCTAGGAAACAGATCTACATATGGCTATATGTGTATCTGTTGATATAATGTGAATATCCGAGGTACGACAGACAGCTAGTGCTCCAAGTTTGAACACCAGAAACCCATAAATACCATGCATTTGGCCTAATTGTAGTTATAACAGTACGTCAGTGCAATCTGCGGTTCATGGTTGAGGTCCGGTAAACGTTGGGAGTATTTTTTGTGTGTAACATGTAAACTACAACTGATTAATAAGCTGCTCAGTCTAACAGATACATCTGTAATGGTTCGGAGCTTTAAAACTCTTCACTCCCGAGGTGGGAGGTACGCATCTGTCATCTTCAACAAGATCAGCTGACCGGCAATATATGTACGGAAATATTATAGTGCAATATAGTAGTGGAAGCTAACTATAGATAATGGAGTCGTACATAAAGAGCCAGTCTGGCTAGTCTACCTGTGTGTAACACCTGGCATTGATCTGACCGAGAATGCCGTCGTCATCCGTCCCTCAGAAGATGTTTGCCTACAACACTCAACAGGCATTCTTAATCAGAATCAACAAGGTAATCAAAGAATGGAAAAATGACAGATTCATCGTCTTTAAATTATTGTTATTTTTACAAGAAGGAATGACATTACAGCCGTGTCCTACCTGCACTCCAACACAGTGCTACCTGTATGTTACCTGTACAAGATTACAGGTGTGCATTGTCTAATGACTAATTAATGAGTGTCTGATTTAGGGTAGACAGAGTATAGGTCTTATATACAAATTAATGGGCTGTATTTTCAGCTTTGAAGCTTCAGTACCAAGGACGGCTAGTGTTATCTATACTGGATCCAGAGTCCTGCAGAAAATCTTACTTGTTAGATGGGTTAAGTAATGTTAACACTTAAGGCTTGGTAGATGGGTTAAGTAATGTTAACACTTAAGGCTTGGTAGGAAAGCATGGTGATTGGTAGACAATGCTCTATGGATTCATTAAGTCATGAATTTTTTCATTATTCTTAGATTCAATAAATAGCTAGAGAGGAGATAATTATTGAAAGTTATGGAAATTGTTCTTGCAAATCTGCATGAGGTTTAAAACATATTTATTATTTAAATGCATGGTCATCATGTTTTTGATGGCTTCACGGTAAATTATGTACACACCTGCTATACACATTGTTAGCTTAACGTAGAAACATAGTGTGTGACTTGGTTATGTCTGCTCAGTAATAACACTGCAGCTAGGAAGCTAACAGTGCTGATCAACTTTAACACGTATATATGTATCGCTTTTTGAGAATATTACATGATGTAGAAATTCCTAAACATTATAAATAAGCTATAATTACTTCGGTTACCTGGAGATCGTTGATAATTTATGGTTTGTATTGATCACGATCTGCATGCATACTGAAGAGGAAAACTTGATGACACATGTGTATAGATGGTGTATGCATGTGTGTTACTACAGGACATATGTGAGTACATGTGTGTGGATGTTTTATGATAGAAGTCTCATGGGCACACATTTATAGAAAAACACATGTACATCTAGGATCATTTTGTATAGAAGATAGTTGTGCAGGTATCACATGGAGAAAGGGCATATGTGTGTAAAAGTGCGGAGTGACACATGTGCAGATCGTTGATGTATAAATAGGGGACATATTTACCTATACATTTACTTTGGTTTTATACCGATGTTAATAAGTAGAGAAATCATGTCATAATATGAAATTCATAGTTAGACACAAGTCTATATTTTTAAACCTTGTGTTATGTATTGAGCTAGAATTTTTTTAAAGTAACACACAAGATGCCCAACTCCCTATTCTTTACTCCCTAATCTTTGAATTAGAAGAGTTCAAATGTGTCTTCAGGGATGAATGAGTTAACTAGGTAATAGTTGTAGCTGTGTGTGACAAGATCAGTTGGAAATATTTTAATGATTACGTGCATCCTGAGCTAGTTTTATTAGCTCACCAGCCCAATACAAGGGCAAGTGTGAGCTTATGCCATGGCGTGGCGTCCCGCGTCAATATTTTACTTTAAACAACTTCTTCTCAATAACCAAAAGGCCAAGGGTACTGATATTGGGCTTGTAGCATGCTGGGATAAAGGGCTACCAAGTTTGTTCAAATGAATGACCTTGACCAACTTTCAAGGTCACAGGGGTCAAATATGTTAAATTCTTCTAACAACTTCTCAATAACCAAAAGGCCCAGGGTACTGATATTGGGTCTGTTGCATGCTAGGATGAAGGACTACCAAGTTTGTTCAAATGAATGACCTTGACTTATATGCAAGGTCACAAGGGTTGAATATGTTAAAAACCTTTAAAAGAACTTCTTTTGAATAACCAAGAGGCCTAGGATAATGCCAGTAACATGTTGGGATGAAGGACTACCAAGTTAAAATCTTTAAATAATTTGTTCTGTATAACCAAAAGGTCCAGGGTAATGATATTTTGCCAGAAGCATGCTGGGTTGCAGTCTACATTCTGGTACATAATTTGTAGTTTACTGGTTGAGTAACTGGTATTACAAAAGCTACCATAAATCTTGCCGCAGTGATGATGAACACTCCCCGATGATTTGCATGTCATTATGTAATCGCTAAATACATGCTTATAAATCAAGCTAAAGTTAAGTGCTAAATCAATTTTGTATTCAAATATATAAAGTATATAGATTTAAGTTGTGTATAATACATTGTGTAATATGCAAACAGACTGTTCCAAGGAGAAAGTTAAACATCTATCTGGTTAGTATGCTCTTTATTTAAACAGACTGTTCCAAGGAGAAAGTTAAACATCTATCTGGTTAGTCTTTTCAGTTACATGCATGGTGTAATCAGTAGACTGTATTTATATACATACCCGTGTTTTCCTAGCTCTGGGGATTAGAATCTACGACAGTGCATTATCTAAACAAGTCAACAGATGTTGTATTAATTACCTATACGACACCTGGTACCAGAAAAGTGATGATACTTCCTTAAATGAGACTGGTTTTCAATGACGAGGTCCGTAACTTATACAATACAGCAGAGTGTCCTCAAAAGCTGGTAATACCTGATTTATAACATCACACATTTTTATGTCAGAAGCTTTCCCTATCATCTATACTGTGTTATATATGTCCCATACAGTTCTATAACAAATATTAAGTCTAATTCTAGTTTTATGGTTGAAAAGTTTTATATTACAACTGATCTTAGCGGATTCTGACTACGCTTTTACTAGACAGTGAACATGTGACTTAGTGTTATCAGTATCATGTACTGTAGTGAACTTACTTATATATAGGCTAGAGCTCGGGAGAAACTTATACTTTCATATTATCTCAATATCAACTGCTGTCTGGGTGTGAAAACCAAAACACTATCTTGTAATTCCTGTTTATATCTCAGCTTATACAGATCCCTGTAGTTCATAAACAGCCAACTGATAGCTGTATATGTTACAACATCTCATTATCAGACACTACAATTCACATAAACATAAAATTTGATACGAGGAGAAAATCCATGTATTAGAATGTCAATTTCTAAACTTATAAAATAATATTTATATCATGTGGATTTGTATAGCTTACCAAACATACATCTTAATGCAAATGCATTCATTTATTTGAAATGTAGTTAATCTTTGATATAATCAAATCATTTCAAAATATCCCATTCCTATTTTCTGACAATTTTTTTATATGTCTTAATTGATATTTTGCCAGACCTCTTTATAGTGCCTTCATTTACTGGACACATGGTGGCAGTATATGAAGATATGATAGCATTGAGTGAGGTGGTAAATACTATTAAGGGCAGCATAACGAGGTTTTACTGTATCCTTTATATGAAGACATTTAGATGGAAAGTGATCATTTTGTATATGGCCAATAAGGAGCTTGTAATTAGTTAAGCTAGGGTTTGTGAGCTTAGAATCAACTTTTATGTCTAGATCTACAACACATAGTTGTGAAAATGGTCTGGAATTTAAAATGTTGCAGACACCGAGACTTGGAAGTCCAGAGATAGCAGTGGTGAATTATGGGTTTGTTGGGAAGATGGCCTACATGCCACTCTTTTCAAATTTACATTCGGAAGTAACCTGGTTTTTAAAAACGTCTTAGAATTGCTTAAATAATGACCTATGACCTCTATTTGACAAAAGAAGGGTGTAAATTTTCATAGTTTAAGCTGCTGTATGAAATGCATTAAACGAATTTGAGCAAAAAACAGGATCTAGGGAATTTTGCCTATTTCAAAAGTATAAAAGGAAAGTGAAATATTGGGAGTCATGCTCAAATACTGGCATATCTGTCAGGTACAACATACTGATGCAAATCATCTGGAGCCAAGCATAAGACAGGACTGTCCAATGTTTTCAAACAGTGTCATCTGGACTCGATATCAAATAATATCTAACCATCTCAGTATGTCTTATTGCTTGTAGTTATTTAGGGGGTGATACTAATTTTTTAATGGCATATGTTGATATATATTTTTTGGGTGGAATGTTATTTATACAAGCCTTATGCTAACAATTTGTGAACATGCAGTTTAAAAAACATCATGTTTTGTCGGTTGGCTAACAATATGTGAACAGTTTAACACTGGATTTGATGTGGAGATCTAACCAATCATGGTGTTTTGTCTGTGGGCTAACAATATGTGAACAGTTTAACACTGGATTTGATGTGGAGATCTAACCAATCGGCTTGCTTTGTCTGTTACAGCTTCGCTTGATGGAGCAGCAGCTTGCAGCAATCCACTGGCAGCCCCGCGACCTTGAGACCAGAGTGCACGACCTTCAACGGGAATGTCATGAGAAAAATCAAATCATCAAGTCCTTACAAGAACAATTAGAGGAGCAGGTCTGTACCATTCACAGAGATGTTTGACAGTTGATTTAACAGTTGGTTAGCGTGGGCTAAAGCTGATGGGGTTTTAATGCTGTCAAATACTCCTGTTATACAGGGGAGGACGACTAACGAGAGAAACAGTCCTTCATATCAACCTTGATGTGGCTCCCTTACGTCAGACAAGTTAGGATATACATTTGTATTGAAAGTACAAATGTTTGTAGAAGGTTTCTTTGACATCAGCTCTGGTCAAGATTACAAATGTTGTAACATGCATACAGTATTAATGGAAAAACAGCATCTGGTAAATAATTATGCAGGATCTGGAATCTTAAAATCTCTGTAAGTCAATGAACAACTGTCCATGAACTGGGTTGAAATCACATTTATATGGAGTTCTTATCAAAGAGTCATTAGGCTAAGGGTGTTTAATTGTGTATTTGAAAATATTTTTTGTCTCAGAAATATGAATCTGACACTGGGGTATAGCGAGGAAGGTCTAAACTTGATCACTTGTTGATGTAAGAAAGTCCTAACATGGCTTGGTCATAAACACAGTAAATAATGATAACGAATCTGATACTGGGGTATAATGAGGAAGGTCTAAACTTGATCACTTGTTGATGTAAGAAAGTCCTAACATGATAAAAAGCTGAGGAAATCATTTATCTTGAAAAGAAAATGAAAGAAAGGATTGTAGGAAATGGGAAAAAAAATCATTTAAATTCATATTTTAAAAAAGAGAAAAAGAATATTTGTACAGATGTTAGTTGATCCAGCTGAAGAGGTATGTCACACAGGTGCAATGCTGCAGATCTTATCTTTGTTTATAATCATAACATTATGTTATAGATAGGTCTTACCACCCAGTAGACTATCCACCAACTGTAGCTCGGGTTTCTGACTAGAATATCTTCCTCTGTCCGTCTCCTTTGGCGCTCATTAAACAGTTACGGTGTTTCCGACTAAAAACTCAATAAAAGACAGAAAAAATGTATTCAAGTTTGGAAGCAACCTATTTAGCTTGTTGTAAGAGTACAGGATATTATTTGTTACTGATATTTATAGACATCCTTTGTGAGTCCGGAGTCCGGCATCAATATTTTACTTTAAACAACTTCTTCTTAATAACCAAAAGGCCTAAGGTGACGATATTTGGCCAGAAGCAAACTTGGATGAAGGGCTACAAATTATTTTGTTCAAATAACTGACCTTCACACACATTCAAGGTCACAGGGGTCAATTGTTGTTAAAAACCTTTAAACAACTTCTTTTGAATAACCAAAAGGACCAGGATGGTGACATTTGGCCTACCAAGTTTGTTCAATTAAATGACCTTTACACATAATAAAGGTCACAGGGGTCAAATATGTTAAAATCCTTAAACAACTTCTTCTGAATTACCAAAATGAATGATTTTTTTTATTTAAACATATTTTATTTGCAAAACAATACAAAAGGGATTAGACACAATTGTTATAAAACTTAAAGTTCGCCTTCTCCATTAAAGCATTACTGATGAAATATACATATGACTGCAAAGTAGAAAATGTTGATGACTGTAAATTTAGATGATTCAAAGGAAACAAGAATAAGGTAAAATGTACAATATACAAATCTTATAGATTATTTTGGTATTGAATGTACCCTTACATGTCTCAGTAACCTGTATATAATATACACATACGCTGTAACGTTACTATAAACAATCTATAGTTTTTATTTTCTTATTGAAACTTCTATCATATAATTACTAAAACAACATAAAATTTAATAATATAAAATTAGCTTTGAAATCAACCTGCATGTTTCAAAACCGTAGCAGCTTGTGATGCAGCAGACCGCATCACACAATGGTCCCATCCTTGAAGCTTTCTTTAAAACACACCGCACCATAATGTCCGCTTTCAACAAGTATAAATATCACACATCCTTGGCTTCCTCACGAGTTCCGAGCTTGCTTGGCTCCCTGCTTTTCCGGACTGAATGATTCAAATTCAAGGTCAAGGGGGTCATTTGTCTAAAAAAACAAACTTTAAAAGACTCCTTCTGAATAACCATCAGGATCAGGATGATGATATCTGGCCAGTAGCATGCTAGGATGAAGGGCCACCAAGTTTGTTTAAATGAATAACCTTCACTCATGTTCTAGGTCACAGGAGTCTAATATGTTTAAAACCTTGAAATAACTTCTATTTAATAAGGAAAAGGCCCAGGGTGATGATATTTGGCCCGTAACATGCTAGGATGAAGGGCTATCAAATTTGTTCAAATGAATGACCTTGATTTGTATTCAAAGTTACAGGGGTCAAATAAGTTTAAAAGCATTAAACCTTCTTCTGAAGGACTAACAGGCCCATGGCGATGATATCAGGGCAGTAGCATGCTGGGATGGAGGGCTACAAAGTTTGTTTAGATAAATGATGTTGAATTATATCCAAGGTCACAGGGGTCCATCCAATATGTTTAAAATCTTTCAACAACATCCTCTGAATAACCTTTAGTCCCAGAGTGATGATATTAGGCCCGTACCATGCTTGGATGAAGGGCTTCCAAGTTTGTTAAAATGATTGACCTTGACTTATATTCAAGGTCACAGGGGTCAAATATGTTAAAATTCTTTAAATAACTTTTTCTGAATGACCAAAAGATTCAGGGTGATGATATCTGGTCATTTAGCATGCTAGGATGAAGGGCTATCAAGTTTGTTCAAATGAATGACCTTGACTTATTTTCAAGGTCACAGGGGTCAAATTTGTTAAAATCATTAAATGACTTCTACTGAATAACCATGAGGCCCAGCATGTTAATATTTGGATGAAGGGCTATCAAGTCATTTGAAAGACCTTGTCCTACTTTCAAGGTCACATTTGGTCAGACATGTATAAAACTTTAAATGACCTAATCTCATTAAACAAAAGGTCTCGGGTGTTGGTATTTTGCAAGTTGCATGCTGAAATAGAGGGCTTTAAAGTTTGTTCAACATAATGACCTTGTTTGACTTTCAAGGTCACAGGGTTCAAATGTTTTAAAATCTTTAAAAGGTTGTTTTGAATTACTTATAGTCATAAATACTGATATTTTGCCTGTAGCTTTTTTTAGAACAATTTTAAGGTTACAAGTGTGAGGTTAATACCAGGTAAGCGATGCAGTCCCATTGGGCCTTTTGTTCTCTATTGAATTGATCAAAAATGAGCATTCTGATTGGTCCGCAAGTAAGATTAGACCAATCAGGGTGTTCATTTTAAATCAATACAATAAAGAAAAATGGCTGTCTGCTTTCAATAAAAAAAACTGTTGAGCATACAAAAGGGGATCGAGGGGCGAAAATAATAACCTCTAATTAATGTACTTACTCATTTCAGAAACGGCAACGACAACAGGATGCCAAACAAGTTGAGAACAAGGCTGGCAAAATTAAAGATTGGGTTACTAATAAACTATCACAGGTATGTATATCATGGCCAGGTAAAGATTGGATAACTAACACACTATCACAGGTATGTATATCATGGCCAGGTAGGGGGTATACAGGAATCGTCAGTCTGTCTGTCCATGGTCCTTGTAAATGCAACTCCCCCTAAACCATGTGTTGGAATTTTTTGTAACCTCACACAGTGAAAGTCCATTGTATATAAATGTGCATGAAGAATGGAATTTGAGATTCAATATTTTTCTTGGAGTCATGATGGCCCTTTAAGAGTTCTGCTCCAGAAAACTTGTAAGCACAACTCCTCCTTAACAGATTTTTGTAATTTTTGTAATTTGGCAAAGTGAAACTACATATTATGTAGATGTGCATGATGAAAGGAATTGATTATTTGACTACTTGTCCTGGAGTAATGCCCCTTGAAATTCTAAATTTCTGCTCCAAAAACATTCTAAGTGCAACACCTCCTCGACTGTTTGTTAGATTTATAGTTATGTCGTACCTGGCAGGTATTAAATTTGTTACAACAATAACTTGAGTTTATTAAATGTTCCAACTGTGACCTTTACCCTAAAGCAGGCATTATGTCACAAATAGACAAAGTTCAAGGTCAAAGTCTTTTGATTTAAATGTGAAAAAATAGTTGTTATTTATGATTTTCCTGTCGAAACATTAGACTGAATCCCATGAAAGATCCAAGTCACATAAATTGAGCTTTTCATTGTTTATGGCATAAGAAATCCTAGACAGTTATCGAATGTGAAAAAGCAATAAAACTTGATGTTTACTTCCAATTTTCACTATACACTGAAATTGAACACTTTCGGGCTATACAATATTGAAATATGATGAATCAGCTGGTTAACATGACTGCCAAACTGCTGAATGTACATTGATGTTGGAGTATTGTCTAGACAGGGGTCACAGATTGTCAGACAATGTCATTATAGCTAATACAGGCGAACCTGTCTGTACCTGGAGATCACCATTACTCTCTAACCTACATGTACGCCTCACTCTAAACAGATTACACAGCAGTTTCTCTGTTGATCAATTTGTGGTGTATAACGGCCCACTCAACAAACATTTGTCCTAATAAATAAATGGTTAATTTGATAATTAAGTTGTTAATTTAATACACAAAATTTTAAATTTGATAAATAAATTGATAATTTAATAAGATAAGTGATTAATTTGTTAAAAGACTGTCTGATAAAGAACTCGGGTAAATCATGGTAAAGTTTCTTGTTTGTAAGTTGACTGTCTGATAAAGAACTCGAGTAAATCATGGTTAAGTTTCTTGTTTGTAAGTTGACTGTCTGATAAAGAACTCGGGTAAATCATGGTTAAGTTTCTTGTTTTTAAGTTGACTTCATTTAACACTGTAAACTTGGAAATTTTCTCCAAAGTTTAAGTTTGCCTTTTTCACTCTCCATCACAAAGGCGAATTTATCCTGACAGCATATATTCATACACAACACACTATATATTCATTGCATGTGAAGATTGAATTAAATTAATGCGAATATGGATGTTACCTATGAAGGACAAAAGTTAGATTGTATATGTGAAAGTTTCCCGTTAGACAGTTTGTGCAACAAGAACTTTGAGAAATTTCTGTTATTTGTTTTCTGACATTTAACTGTCTTATAGTATAGGAGAGTATGCATGTTGGCCGAAGTTAAACAATCGACATTCAGGGTGTTTTCTTGTTACGATGATATCAAGTACATTGTTTTCTGCCAGGTGCTGAAATGATTTCCTGTTTTCTTTTCATGTTTTACTTTTCTTAATTTAGAAAATATAAATAGATGATTCTGTCTATTGGATAAGTGTTCTATTTTAATTAAAAACTGTATAGCTTTATGAACGTCGCGCAATACCTCTTATAGAGGAAGGTGCTTGAACTCAGCACAGCAATACACATTATACAGGGAAGTGCTTGCACTCAGCACAGTAATACACATTATACAGGGAAGTGCTTAAACTCAGCACAGCAATACACGTTATACAAGTTTTCATTTGTATGAACTAACTCTTCTGAAAGCAGTCAAAACATCAGTACCATAAACAAATCTGTGTGATGCATCTATAAAACATCTGGTTTAATTATCAAAGTTATTCATTAAGTCTTTGATAAGTTAATGTGTAACAGAGAACATTGTGATAACTCTAAGGAGACTGGTGGCGGTTTATAGACTTTCTGTGTTATCTATTTCACTATAGCTGGGGTGTTTCCCCAGTGGTTCTTTTATAGGCACTGGGATCATTGATTCCCAAAAAATGTCAAGTCATTATTTGTGGGACTTAAAATGTCTGTTATTGATTGATCTAAGAAATGACATAAGTTGATAGATTGCACTGATTACATGATGGTACATATAGCCTTGATCTTAAGGATTTCACTGTTTTTAGAATGTTGGAATGGTCGTTGAAATCCTCTACATTTGATTTGTTTCCTGATTTTGTCATAAATTGTATATGTACTGGTTATATACAACCCAATATTTAGTATGTGATCCTGTTGTTAAGTTTGAATCAGTGTATACTTTGCCCTTTTCCAATAAAATCCATGTTCAGCTAATGTGTCTGTTATTGATTGATCTAAGAAATGACATAAGTTGATAGATTGCACTGATTACATGATGGTACATATAGCCTTGATCTTAAGGATTTCACTGTTTTTAGAATGTTGGAATGGTCGTTGAAATCCTCTACATTTGATTTGTTTCCTGATTTTGTCATAAAGTGTATATGTACTGGTTATATACAACCCAATATTTAGTATGTGATCCTGTTGTTTAGTTTGAATCAGTGTATACTGGGGAATGCTCACCCAATCCAATACTTAGTATGTGGTCCTGTCGTTCAGTGGGAATCAGTGTATACTGGGGAACTCTCATCCAATCCAATACTTAGTATGTGATCCTATCGTTAAGTTTGAATCAGTGTATACTTTGCCCTTTTCCAATAAAATCCATGTTCAGCTAATGTGTCTGTTATTGATTGATCTAAGAAATGACATAAGTTGATAGATTGCACTGATTACATGATGGTACATATAGCCTTGATCTTAAGGATTTCACTGTTTTTAGAATGTTGGAATGGTCGTTGAAATCCTCTACATTTGATTTGTTTCCTGACTTTGTCATAAATTGTATATGTACTGGTTATATACACCCCAATATTTAGTATGTGATCCTGTTGTTAAGTTTGAATCAGTGTATACTGGGGACCTCTCACCCAATCCAATACTTAGTATGTGATCCTGTTGTTAAGTTTGAATCCGTGTATACTGGGGAACTCTCACCCAATACAATACTTAGTATGTGATCCTGTCGTTAAGTTTGAATCAGTGTATACTGGCGAACTCTCACCCAATCCAATACTTAGTATGTGATCCTGTCGTTAAGTTTGAATCAGTGTATACTTTGCCCTTTTCCAATAAAATCCATGTTCAGCTAATGTTAACTTCACCCTTGACATGTACTTACTATATAGTGTATGTTGTGTACTAACGCTGGCTGTCATGATAAATTCAACCTCATTGGGGAAGGTGAAAAAGGCCAAAGCTAAAATGCGGCGAAATTCCCCAGAATCCAGTATTTACAGGATGTGATTCTGACATTTATCTACGGCCCTATTTATACTGTATTTAGTCAATTTCATTTAGCTGAAAACCTGTTTTAAATAAATGTTCCAGCTAGAACAGCAGAACCAAGCACTCCAGACAGAGAATGAAATGCTTCAGGACCAGGTGGAGATCCTTAGGGAGCGGCTACAGGCCCTCCCTGCCTTTGCAGCTAAAGAAATCTACAGATTGAGTCATCAGGTAAAAACAGATCTTCCTATACTTATTTGGTACTCAGAGGGCAACTCATCAGACTGTATTCATTGTCCTAGAGAACTTCAAGTGCATGTGTTTTGTAACAGATTTTTTGTTTTCAGCAGTTTGTCTAACACCCATGGTTTGACTTCGAATTAAGAATGTTGCTAATCTCTTAAGATATTTGGAGCTTAATTCAAAATGTCTATTGATCATAATATTCATCACTGAACTTGTTCTAGACCTTTTGACAGTGCCTTGATATCAAACTGGCATTCTAGTATCAACCTAATTTCTGTATCGTCTTGATTTTGGGAGCTTCCACCAACAGATTTAGCAATTCCCAGTCTGTATTAATATTTAATAAGTGAAAAACTCCAAATTTGGTCGGTAATGACTCAGCGTCTATAATTACAATGAATAACCCTTGACATCAAACCCTAAATAGACAAGCATGCTATATGTTATGATATATTTCAGGATTCCTTCTCTAGACCGTCCTCATCAGTTGTTGAGGCATCCCGACCTCCATCACAGGATATGGGGTCAAGGACAGCCTCAGAGATGACTAATCTTTCAGGACTGCTTGGGTCAAGGCCAGTCTCTGAAGCAAGTTCAAGGCCAGCGTCTCACAACTTTGGCTCTCGTCCAATGTCCGAAGTTGTGGGCGTCATCCGTCCATTTTCAGGAACGGGGTGGTCAGAAACTGTCTCAGAGGTTGTGAACTTACAACCTTTTTCTCGGACATACAGTCCGAGACCCACCTTAGACTTTCCAAGTTCACAGCCTGGGTCAGGGTTCAGTTCCCGATCTACATCTCCTGTTGTATTACCTCCAGAAATTCCCAGACGACCTTCACCTTCTATACTAGAAGCTTTCAAAATGGAACAAGAAATAATGGAAGATAGGACTGATGCAAGTATCAGTCCACCTTCTGACACTCCCGAGAGTAGTCCGGACGGTTTAACTGAAAATATCTCCGATAATAATAGTGATGATAGTATGGCAGACATAGAACATGATCCGCTTTACCAGGAAGTGGATCAGAACCACGAAAGTACATACGAACCTAAAAAGTCTCTACCTCCACAGATCAAAATAGAACGAAAGCAATTCCACGATCCACATATCTTTGACTCCTTAGTGAGTTCCAGTACAGGAAGTGAAGAAGTGTTGTCTCGTCTCAGGAATTTACAAAACGGTGATATGAATGGTGATGATGACACACTGCATCTGGAGGATGAGGAGAAGGAGGAGGAAGTGGAGGAGGATAAGATCATCGTTGAGGATGTAACTCCTATAACCTTGACCCCTAGCACTATGATGACCCCTTTGACCCCATTAACCCCACTCCTCCCCCAAACCTCGCCCATGTCTTCCATGACTGGGGTGTTTGGCCATCATCACAGCTCCAATGTGTCAGCCATAGCAACATTCCCACGGGTAAGGAAGGAGCGAGATAAACCACCACCCCTCCAACTTCTAGCCCCCAGAGAGGGACCACAGTACTTTCTGGCTCAGGAAACACAAAGAGGGAGGGGACAATTTGTTCCTCCTCCCCAAGTATTAGAACCTCAGGTGATTGGTGCTGCCAAGGAGACGACCTCAAGTAAAAATAGATCATCTCCCATGGCAACACGACGGGCTGCCAACCACACATACTGGGTAGGTATCTCTATATTCACCTCATTTATGTACCAGAAGTAATAAAATCAGAAAAAAAGTTCAATGTTAAGAAAGTTGCTATTTACGCCGCAGTACTACATCTTTCCTTTGTTCTGTGGCATTCAACTTTTTCTTTTTTGATTCAAAAAGAGTCTTTGCGATCTCAGACACATGTAAATGGATTACTTTGTTATCATGCAGGTTCAATAGGAATCTTGTTTAATTTAAAATAAAACAAATTAAGATAAAAAGATAATTATTACTTTAAAAACTTTGGATTGATTTAACTCCAGGTCCTGGTTTAAAAAGTGTCAATATTTAGGCAATTACAATAATTTAAAACAGTTCTTTTGTAAATTAACAGTTCTTTTGTAAATTGATGATGTTCTAATTTATTTTCAGGAAAAACGAAGCTATGCAGTCCCTAAGAAGTCCCGGCAGCAGCCGCCAGACCACCATGTGACAGGTAGGGGTATACTTAGAACCGCCAGACCACCATGTGACAACTAGGGGTATACTTAGAACTGCCAGACCACCATGTGACAGGTAGGGGTATACTTAGAACTGCCAGACCACCATGTGACAGGTAGGGTTATACTTAGAACCACCAGACCACCATGTGACAGGTGGGGGTATACTTAGAACTGCCAGACCACCATGTGACAGGTAGGAGTATACTTAAAACTGCCAGACAACCATGTGACAGGTAGGGGGATACTTACTACTGCCAGACCACCATGCACAAGTAGGGGGATACTTAGAACTGCCAGACCACCATGTGACAGGTAGGGGTATACTTACTACTGCCAGACCACCATGGACAGGTAGGGGTATACTTAGAACTGCCAGACCACCATGTGACAGGTAGGGGTATACTTAGAACTGCCAGACCACCATGTGACAGGTAGGGGTATACTTAGAACTGCCAGACCACCAT